GAGACGGGGTTTCACCATGTTGGCCAGGATGGTCTCGATCTCTTGACCTCGTGATCCACCCGCCTCGGCCTCCCAAAGTGCTGGGATTACAGGCTTGAGCCACCGTACCCGGCTAGTATCCTGTCTTTCTGTAATGGCTATAAAATTTATTTTGTAGGTTAGGGAGGTTGTGTAACATAAAAACACATCACTATATATATATATATATATATATATACACATATTTATTTATTTATTTATTTATGAAATATACATTTTTCATGTAAATAAGTCTTATTAATGATTATATACTTTTGCTTAACAAAATAACACACGATGAGAGTTTGAGTTGCCAACATATATTTTAAGTATCTATTGCTAAAAACATAGTAAGATGCAGAGATTTCTTTGTCATAAGCCAATCCTCAAAAGAGTTCCTAACAATGGTGATGTCTAATATATAAGAATAAGGTACCTCTGAGGGAGCTTCATATTTTCAGAGTTTAAAATTATTGCTACTCCCAATTTAGAAAAAAGGGAGAACGCTGGAAGAACAAATGACATGCTCAAATGTATTGCGTACGTCAACCTCAAACCTTAATACTTGGAGCTTCGCTACCTCCTGATCCTGTCTTACAGATAAGGTCCCCATGCTAGATTTGTTTTATAGTCAGGTTCCATTTAGCTCATTAAAGGTCACTGCTGCTTCAAAGGGCTTTGCAGAGTGGATGCCATTTATAACCACTGACGAATGTTATCAGCTATTTATCCAAATTACAGGAAATGAAACCTGAAAAGGTCGTCGGATAAGAACCGTGTTGAAAATTCATAGTTTTAAGTTTGATGGATTCCATTCAGGCAAGTGTGTTTCAGCAAATCTCTAGAAATTTACATTGATTAAAATTTTAGCGGCTGTATTGGAAGTTCCAGACATGGCAATAAGGCAAGAAAAAGAGATTAAATGCATACAGATCAGAAAGAAAAAACAATGTATCCCTATATAGAGATGACAGGATTGCCTACACAGAAAATTCCAAATAAACTATTTTTAAAAAAGAAACTCTAGAACTAGCAAGTGAATGCAGCAAGGTCTCAGGACACAAGACCAGCACACAAAAGTCAATTGCATTTCTCTATGCTATCGATGAACATGTGTGGGGGGGGAGTGAGGGGGGCTGAAAACACAATACCATTTGCAATCACTCTAAAGTGAAATATTTATGTATAAACAAAACTTACCCAGGACCTGTGTAGTGAAAATTTTTTAATGCTAAGAAAAAAAATTAATGATCTAAACAAAGAAAGAGAGATACCACGTTCTTGGATTGGAAGATACAAAACAATAAAGAGATGGGTTCTCCCATCTTTATCTCTAGGTTTAATGCCATTCCTATCAAAATCCCAGCGAGGATTTTGTAGACCTATATAAGCTTATTTTAAAAGCTATTTGAAAAGGCACAGGCATTGAAATAGCTAAAACAATCTTGTAAAAGCAGAATAAGGTTGGAGAAATCATTCTATTTAATACAAAGAGTTATTATGTAGCTACAGTACTCAAGAAAGTGGTCTTTGATGGCCTAGAAACACACATTGATGGAACAGAGTAGGGAATCTAGAAGGCCCACACAAATAGGCTCAACTGACTTTTTTTTTTTTTTTAACAAAAGTACAAAATTAATTCAACAGAGGATAGTCTTTTCAATACACGGGAGCAAGTGGACATCCATAGGCAAAAAGAACCTTGGTCTAAACTTCATACCTTATACAAAAATTAACTCAAAAGAGATCATATCTGTACACATAAAATGTAAAACTATAAAACTATAGAATATAGAAAATCTTTGGGAACAAGAGCTAAGCAAAGAGTTTTTAGACAATACCAAAAGCACAATTCATAAAAGAAAATTTGATAAATTAAACTTCATCAGAATTTAAAACACTTGCTCTGCAAAAGACCATGTTAAAAGGCTGAGAAGACGGGCTACCTACTGAGAGAAAATGTTTCCAAGTCACACATCCAACAAAAGATTAGTATCTAGAACATGTAAAGAACTGTCAAAACTGAACAGTTAAAAAAAATTTTAATTAGAAAATGTAGCACATATACAGACATTTCACTGCAGAGAATATATTAATGGCAAATAAGCATATGAAAAGATATTCAACAACACTAGTCACTAGGGAACTGCAAACTAATACTACCAGGAGCTATCACCGCATACCTACCAAAATGGCTAAAATAAAAAAATGATGATAACACCAAATGCTGACAAGGATGCAGATAAACTGGGTCAGGCATATACCAGTGGTGAGAATGTAAAACGGAACAGCCATTCCGGAAAACCATTTGGCAATTTCTTATAAAACTAAACATACAACTGCCATACTGACCCTCCATTGCACCCAGAATTTATCCCAGAGAAATGAAAAGAGGTTCACACAAAAGCTTGTGCAAGAACATTCATATCAGCTTTATTGATAATGTTCAAAAACTGGGAGCAATCAGATGGCCTTTAACAGGTGGCTGGCGAAGCAGTGGATGGTGCCCCCATGCCTGGAATACTACTCAGCAATAAAAAAAAGAACTAATTACTGACACAGACAACTACCGGCATGAATTCCAGAGAATTATTCTGAGAGAGCGGAGCCAATCGTAAAAGTGTGCACACTGTATGGTTCCATTTACATAACATTTTGAAATGTAAAATGATAGGAATGGAGAATAGATAAGGGGTTGCCAGGGAGGAGTGGGGAGAACAAGAGAGTTGGGTGTAACTGTAAAAAGATAACACAAGAGATCCTCGTGGTGATGGACATGTTCAGTATCTTGACCAAATCAATGTGAAAATCCTGGTTGCAATATTGTAGTATAGTTTAGCAAGATGTGCCATTGGGGAAAA